AGCTAAAAATGCAGAGGCCCCGAGGTAGGGGCATGCTCAGCACATCTGAGGGAAGTGCTGGAGAGAATTAAGTAAAGTGAAACCTGGTAGATGGGACCACAGATGTAGGGAGATCCACATTATTAATGACCTTATGGACAACAATCGGCAATTCTAACATTATTTGGAGAGAGACAGGAAAGCACTGGAGGGCTTGGAGCAGAGAAGCAGCTTGATCTGACTTAGGTCTTGACAGGATCACCCTGACTAGTCTTTAAAAAAGGACCTCCATGTAGGATTGGAAGCAGGGAGACCAGCCTGGGTGAGAAATGATGGCGGCTCAGGCCAGGGTAAAGGGGTCAGCAGTGGTCAAAGGTCAGGTACTTCCCAAAGGCAGAACCAACAGGATTCACTGAGGGTTTGGCAGCAGGGTGTGAGAGGAGGAGAGGAGTCAAGGACGGTTCCTGGCAAGGTTTCTGGGTTTACCAAATGAAAGGACAGAGTTCTGTTCACTGAGATAAGCAGTATGGGGAAGAAGTGGATTTGAGAGGAAAATCAGGAGTTCAGTTTTGAACATGCTTAGTTGAAATGTCTTTTCAACGCCCGAGTGGAAATTACCCTTAGTCACTTGACTTGATAGCCAAGATCACAGCTGGAAAATTCAAATGCTTTCGGGACCAGGCAGGAAACATAAATAAGTACTGAAATATAATAAGGAGAGGTAGGGTCTGTTGCTATAGTCAATAACATTGTCTATTGTCGGCAATGTTGTAATAACTATGCACAGTGACAGATGGTTACTAGACTTACTGTGTGATGACCACTTTGTAAGGTATATAAATGCTGAATCACTATGTTGTATACCTGAAACTAATATAATACTGCATGTCAACTACAATTAATTTAAAACCATTGATATTTACAAAAAAAACACAGTAAGAAGAGGCAGAGACTACAACTGGTCAGAGGGTAAATGTCCCATTTGAAGGGGAAGCTGCTCCGGAGCCCAGTCCAGTGCTGACATTTGGAATCTGGGCCCAGTGTTCCTAGGTCTTCCCATTTCTTAGCAGGAAGAAGAATCTGACTTTCTAACATCCATATCTTAGGGAAATAAAATAAGTTCCACAGTATAGTATATCCTAGGAGCGCTCAGTTAACGTTCTAACTGCAGGTGTTATTGGCGTCTTTAATTTATTAATATACACAGCAAAAAGAGGTTGGTTTAGCATTTTTCTAACTTGCTTGACAATCGAATCCTCTCTTCATGCAACACCTCAAGGGACAAGCTTTCCTTGGTGCGTACATGGGAAGTGCTTATTCATGCACATGTCCCAGATGTCTGATCAACTGCTTTATTTCCTTTTTGAATATCTTAGTACTTATATTTCTTGCAGCTTGTGAGTCACAGTTGATCACATACACACAGACACACAGCCAAATCTGTCAGGTGTTCTAACATCTAGTATCAGACTTGGTCCAAACGTAAACGAAGTACTTATTACAGCGTTCTGAACTGCTAACTACTGAATGGAGTCTTGACCTTCTCATCGGTGAAGAAACACGGAGTGAAATCCCAGGAACACTGACTGAACAACTTCATTTCCCGACTCCTCTCCCTTCTGCACCTGTTGGGCTACATGCTTTACTGACAGGTGGACGGTCCATCATTACTATGCACTTGGCAGACACTCTTTGTTTTGTTTATTTATGAGGAAGGAAGAAGGGAGAAAGACAAATAAATCTGGGATGGAAATTCTGTAATAAAAAGACAAGACCAATATTGCTGCAGGTCTTTAAAAATATACTCGAGGATATATTACAATATTTGAGGTGCAGGGCCTGTCTGAAGCAGTAGAGTGCGTAGTCTATAAAAGAACACACGATGCAGTTGGGTAGAGCAGCACATTTAAAACAAACAACATAAACATGTCACATATTGCCCTGGCCAGGTGGCTCATTTTGTTGGAACATTGTCCCGTGCACCAAAAAGGTCACAGGTCTGGTGCACAGGAGGCAACTGACTGATGTTTCTCTCTCACATCAATGTTTCTCACTTTCTCAATCAACAAATGTCAATAAACACATCATCGGGTGAGCACATTTAAAAAAAGTCACATATTGTCATATGTCATGACATTTTGACATACTGTCAAAAACTTCTATGACAGTACACAGAAGGGAAGCAGCAATGTGGGTTTGAATGGCCGGTGAAAGTGTCGCCTGCGTTGGTCCTTGAAGCACAGTAAGGTGTCAGATCGAGAGCAGGACGGTGGGAATTCCATGCAGGAGAGACCAGGGCAGAGGGAGAAATGAGGCAGTTCTAGGAGCCTGAGTAGACAGGACTGCACAGGTCGGGAGGACAATGGGACACTGGGGCCGGATCACATCGTGGTGGCTGCTGAATACCCGGTAAGGAAATACGGCCTTCACCGTGCAGGTCGTTGAAGGATTTGCGAGTCTTCGAAGGATACTGGGCAGGAATCTGCCATATTAAGGAAATTTGATCTTATGAGGTCTCGGGGAGAAAGTGAGGCGAGAGGACTTTGCAGGATCCTGGGGTGAGGTGAGGAGAGTCTGGGCTGGATAGTGAAGAGTGGGAACAGAAAGAAAGCATGATACTTATGGAGGAAATAATGAACAGAACTTGCTAGCCTACTGAATGTGAGAGAGGTGCATGAGAAAGGAATGGCTTTGACCCTGGGTCAGTAACATAATGACTATCCCGACAGCAAACTGGTTTATACATATTCATTTATGGTGACATTGGTACATCCAAGGAAAAACGTCCAATCAGTTAATTAGAGATCTAGGACTAGAACTTGGGAAAGAAAGACAAATAATGAACACTAAGGCGCCACAGTGTTCTCAGCTGTGCTACATCCTTTATGTACATGATCAACCCAGGAGAGAAACAGGGATGGACTTTGCAGTTTGGCGCCATTCACAGATGTCAGTCAGGTCAAGAGAATAATGACATTCAGTGAAGACCAATTTATCACAATTCCTCTATGTCCCTTCCCTTTGAAAACAGTCACACAAAAACAAATGCAGAAAAACACACCACATCCTATCACATCACAAGATCACTCAAAATTCTGGTTTCCGTAAGTTAATACTGGATTCTAGGAAGTGCTAGAGACAGGGAACAGAAAACACAACTGTAATGGTTCTTTTTTCTTCTTTCCCTTGAGAAAAACAAAATGACAAAAAAAACAGGAGGCAGGAAGAAACGAGGGGAGAAGTATTTGGGAGAGTTTCCACTTGCTGAGATAAACAGGAATGAAAGCAAACTCTTTCCTCAAATAACAACAAACATTTGAACACTGCCTCCCTAGTTTTCTAGAACTCATTATCAATTTACAAACACATTATCTGATTCCCATCATGCACCTTTCCACTCACAAGCCAGCAAGGCGCCACGCGTGCCACCTTCCAACTCCCTCCAGCAGACCAGGGTCTCAGTGTCTTTGTTTGGCAGGCCCACGAGCACATCAACAGTGATGACAGGTGTTTAAATGGCCGCCATTAGTCTTTTCCATTTGTCACAACTCTCCAGGGTGAGCTGAGTCCATCCCTTCCTTCCCTCAGCCACCAGAAAGGCTGTGCTGCTTAAAATGTCTCTCCATTCAAACACCCAGGGCCAGGGAAGAGGAAAAAGCCGTAAGAAAGGACGAAGGAGTGGGTGAAGGGTAGACTAAAATGGCAAACTTAGAAAGCATCTTCTCAGCACGCAGTAGTTACTTATAATATAATGTGTTTTCATTCATGGTACCCTTTCTTTTACTCTACAGATGCAATGCTATAAACATTACAACTGCATGCAATCACACATTTAGCCAATAGTATAACTGCTCTTAATGAACAGAACATAAATGTCCTCATTGAACTCTTTAACAAAGGACAATATCAAAAATTCCCCAAGACCCATAGCAGAAACGTCTGCTTACAATGTGCAAAACATACACACACCAGGAATTGCTGATTCTTACAGATTCCCTGGAACCTCTTGCTAGAAACGAGAGAGGGAGGGAGAGCTGGGAGGGTTTGCAGACTAAATGTCCCTGCATTCTCACCGCCTAAAGAATAAATTCACATCTGGAACTGGTTGCCTCAAGACACAGGTCTATACTATGGACAACTGAATAATGGATGGTTGTATTTCCAGAAACCAGGCAATACACTTTGAATACACAAAATACAGGGGGGAGAAACCTTGCAAAAATGTTTGCTAAGTGAATGCCCCCCTGAAGAAAAGTTTTTATAAAAAGTTAACTACACTTGCTTACTGTGAAATTCCAGATACACAACAAAAATCTTATCACAGATATCATAATGATACACAGTAATACTGAGACAAGTACTGGGCAAAACAATCATCTGTTTTGACGATTTAAACAATTCCTACAACCAATCCCCACACAACTCAGACTGCAGTAGCAAGGAATTAACTCTGTAAACAAAAGTTACTTAGAGTTGGCTCAATGGAATAATTAAGCAACAGTAATTCACTTCCTCTACCGACTTTAAACATTGCCTGGGTTCTTATTGCCCTTAATCCCCTGATACTACAATTTTACTTATAATCTAATTCCTGAATGTGTTGCTAGATTCCATGGAACAGCGAAGAGAAGTCAGTGCTTTGCAGTCCAGTGGGAGACTAACTGAAAGCAGACGTTTGCAGGCTGAGGTCCCTTTCTACCTCCAGGGATGAAGAGGGGGAGCAAATGGTTCGAGGCCCAGAGGCTGACTCCCTCTGCCAGGTGCAGACAGTGAGGAGCACACTGCAGGGCTTCCGGCCAACCTTCTGTGCTCTGCACGCTAAAAAAAAAAATCCTGATAACAGAAAAGCAAAAACTGGATCCCCATGACACTGCCAGGTAGATCTACAGAAATTAGTGAGTTTTCCTGTGGAATAAAATATCTTCACAACAAAATTTCAGAATTAATTAGCAATCCCACCACACTCGAATGGTACTACATTTGCATAAGATAACAAAATGAACTGTGTAGTCTTCCCTTACCTGTCTACTGTCCCTCTGGGAGGACGTTGAAGAGGAGGCACTTCTGTGGGTGGGAGTGGACGTTTTATGAGCAGGGGATATGCCCTTCTCGTCTGAACTCATAGCTGCAGTTAGAGTCTAGTCGCGTGCACTTAAGATCATCCCAATGGTCTCAAGTTCAGACAAGGAAGTAGATAAATTTTCAGCTTCAGTCCATTTCACAGACCAGGCTTGACAGAAAAGAGAAGGCAAATGGTCAGGGTGTCCAAAACATCTCAAAGCAAAACAAACAAACTACAACTCATGTAAACAATTTTTAAAAATTAAAAATTATATTCAGGAAAAATGTTAGTGAGAGGAAGAACTCTGACACATTAGGAGGTATGTCTTCCTCTAGATCTGCAAGGTGGAGGCTGAAAGCCTGAACAGACACCAAAAGTCTGTCACCAGGGAAAGTGGGAAGAAACCATACGCTCAAGTCACACTCTGCCCTCACATTCTCCTTGTTTTAAAGCAGGTCAGCAGTGCTAAGTCAAGGGTTTGGTCATCTGCTCCATTGCTAAATGCACTACAAAAGGAACTATGAACTCTGTTAGTAGGTTGCACCTACTTATTTTTTATTCCTGGAGTGTAAGAATGGCTATGACATTAAAATATATATATATACTAATTTCATCTATAGCAAAGCACATTTTCAGAAACTGGCTAAACAAAATTCTACACCATAAAAAGACCGCCGATTTAAAGTCAACATAAACATAATTTTTACGTTCAACGAGAAAAGTATTGTGGCTGGAAATAACAGCAATATGAAAGATGAACATCCAATTTTCCCATCTCATTCTTCCTTCTTATCAACATTAAGTACCGTAACAGTTGCATTCATGCCGAGTGACATAAAATTCAGATTTATGACCAGAGACCTAACTAAAGCAAAAGGTAGCAGGGAAGAAAGACTTCTAGAACTTGCTGTTTAAAGGCATCATAACTGGTACGTGTTCAGAAAAAAACATTTGAAACTGGGGACTACCCAGCCTGAGCTAAGTTACGATGTGGTAACACAACCACAAAATCTCAAGCTCCTACAGGAAGGTTAAGAAATAAACCTTTAGGTTCCTTTAGGTCAGCTGCTGCCCTACTCCAGGTCCTACTCATCCAGGCCGGAGACGCAGTTCCCAGGTGAAGGAGGGACAGAGCCACGGCTGAACCACGAGACAGTTCATACCACTTTTACTTGGAGGTGGCATGTCTTAGCTCATTGCACTCACATTTTATTGGCCAAAGAAAGTCACATGGCCAAACTGAGGTCAACAATGCATGCAAGTATAGCCCTCCCAGAGGGTGAGGCAGTGGATAGTAGCAAATAATAATATAATCTACTATACGCACCATAAAAAGATTAAAGGTACAGATGAAAATATTTCAACTGTCTCTAGTTTCATCCAGTAGTAACAATGGTTACTACTGGTTCATGTTACTACTGGTTCACCCAGTAGTAACAATGGTTAACATTTTGGTTCTGCTTTAACCAAAGTAGGAGAATAATGCCCACACTATCTGCAATATGGTTTCTTCAATCAACAATGTATTGGTGAAGGTCTTCCTCGTGAACAAAGACACTTTGACGTCACCACTCTTAATCACTACATATAAGGCCACCACACGATATACCACAATATATTAAGCCATTCTCGCACTGGGGCATTTAGGTTGTATTCAGTGCATTTTGAAACATTGAGTCTTACCATGGAAGAGTTTATAATAATTCTATATTCATGGTTTATTATTGTAAAAATGACTTTGTGGATTTCAACACCTTTTTGCTTTATTTGATATCCTCTGCTCTTTCTGTTTGCAAGTGATAAAATCTGTTCATAATTTTACATTTAAACTTTCTGTAGCATTTTGTATTGTGTTCCTGTAGTAATGATCACGTTGGGGTGCTTTTTAAAAAATGTAATTTTAATGAAGTTGTTCCCATTTCCATTTAATGTTATAATAATAGTTGACCCTGCCTCTCGTTTGACGTTTTCTGCTTCTGGGTTCTCCTGTTTACTTTAATGCTTGATGGCTTTCTAAAAAAATAATCCGCTTCTCCTTACGATACTGATTTTTATATGGTTTTAACTGACCTTTACATTTGCCATTAATTTGAAAGATACGATTTCCCTTTTAAAGTTCTACTTCTGTTTCCCTTTATGTTTCTCTAAGTCACTCTTAGAACCACCAGTGTGCAAATGACTAAGGCAAGAGTAAAACGGTATCTTCTGAGTCCCCTCCACCCACCTAATGCCACTCACCACCCCCCAAAAAAAATTCTGCTCCCCGTCCTCTTTTCAACCTTGGTGGTTCCATCTGGAGTTGTCGAGAATCACACTTAGGATTCCGGAGCAATGCCGAGGAGCCGACCAGGGTCTCCGAGTGTGAGAAGATAGAGCAACAAAAGCAAAGCCTTTCTGTCCTTTCTCACGAGCCTCCTTTTCTGCAAGTGCAGCTGACCTTTGTCATAAGACCTGGCGACCTGGCTTGATCAAGATTTTCCTCAATTTGGAATATAGCCTTCATAAAAGTAGGGTATAATCCTCTATAGTTTTGATCTTAGATTCTATTTTGAGTTAAGTGTTTGGGTTATTAATGGCTGGTCTTTTTCAATATTTGCTCGACTAATTACAGAGTATTAGGAGGAGCCACATTAGCGGACCCCATGCCTAGCCACCGGGGGCAGGGCATTCTTATTGACTGATCTTATCAATGCAAATGTCACCACCCTACTGGGTGGAATATATTAGTTTTCCATCAAGATCATGATCAGAGCAATGAATGCCTATTGTCATTATATATTGTGGTCATTACATTGTCATTATAAAGTTTTTCTTTTTCCTAAAAGAGAAAGGGTAGGCAATCTGTTGTATTTCTAAGGTCATTAACTCATGGGTAAGAAAAAGAAAATCAAGGACTAATTTCAAGAACATAAGCACTAGAAATCAGTGTAAGATTGGATAAGCATTTTCCTACAAAATGCCTAAAAGGATTTTAAAAAAGGACCATTAGTACTTATACTAGGGAATAGTGACCACCACATGTCACAAAATCAAAAGACTGTTTTACTCAGGGCCCAAAAGAGGATGTATGAAACCAACACAGGATTTCCCATTTCGGGACAGTGAAGTGATGTTATAGGAGGAGAATCTGGCAAACTCCACCAGCTTCCTCCAAAGGGATGGGGCACAGGGTAAGGCTCCCCACACGCGAAGAGCTTTCTGAGGCCGTCAGCAAGAACACAGCCTGCCTTTCCCTCTGCAGCCTTCCTCAGTCTTGGCCCTGGAAGAGCACCATGGACAGGTCCCAGTGAACCCCCAGTTCGGTCTCGCCTCCCCAGGCTCCCTTCTGGTGCAGATGCCTACAAAACCAAGAAGGAAAAAAGTATAGAAAGAGACAAGTTCTCTGGCTGTGACTGACCAAGATTCTAATTCTCCCAGTCTCCTACAGCCCTTTCCTAAGTAAATGAAATAGACAAACCTACACTCTGCATCACCCAGCCCTCCAAGGTGAAGTGTAAGAGGAGGATTTGAATGTTAACCAAGTAATATGAAGGGTGCCAAGGATAGTTGGCACAATCCTTTGACAAAGAGCAGATCTCACATAAAGAAGAATGTTTAAACAAATATGTCCATAAAATACAATGAAAGATTATCCCTCCAAAGGAGAGAAAACTATTATGTGCAAGAGATAGACTGAGGGCTTATTTGTCACGTTAACTCTGGTAAAAGACAGAGGTAGCTTTGGAGCACACAAGTACTTTACATGTTCACCACATTTTTATTAAAAAATGGAGTCTTCATACAAGAGGTAAGACAGGCTCAGCTGCAATGGCAACTGGCATAGGTAAGAAATGAAGGAAACGAATAATGACACCAAATTTAAGAGCAGGAATTAAAATGATATTAGTGAAGCACAGGATGATTCTGCAGAAAAATCTAGTCATACACAGATCAGAAAGGTAAAATTGAGGAAATTACCCTGCAAACAGAAAAAAGAGCAAGAAAACGTTAACCTTTACACTTTTAGTTCAAGTGTCATCATCTACTCGTAAAACAGCGTGCAGTATAGGCGTCTGGATGGCTTGTTTCTGGAACTTCTATTTAATATTTCCAGACTGCCACTGACCCCAGGTGACTGAAACCTCGGAAAGCAAAGCCATGGACAAAACATACAAAAGGGAAACACGGGTTTCATAAACGATTAAGGAACAGCCATGTCTTTAAAATGACAATAAAAAGACAATGTTCATTATGTATTTTTTAAGGTTAATTTTTTATTTCTAAAACTTGTATAAAGTTTTCAAAAATGGGTACGGTATTAAGTTCCTGTCATTTCCCAAAGTCTTGTAGTCAGGGCAGCGTTAGCCTGAGAGGCAGATGGGGCTGTGCCGCCAGAACAGGAGCAGGAGCCAGGCTCCTGAGTGACTGGCGCGTATTTCTTCAATTCAGATGATATACGGGGAAATCACTTCTGGCTGTCCAGATTACATACAACTATGCCAAAGATGTGACTGGGTTCAAGAGGGCAAAATAGCTCCTTACTATACTTTAGACATTTGTATTTCAGGTATAAGTAACAGTCTTGTAACCCCGAAGGTTTTCAAGTCCCTTAGGTCACATTGCTTCTAGTTTTCTTCAATAATTTAAGAGCTGTTCTACTTACCTATTGGTAACTTCATATGGAAGTGTTCTGAAAATCAGCTTAAATTGGTCATTCTCAAATACCACACTGATCTCTGTTGAGTTATAATGTGATAATGTCTGTATTTGAAAACTATAATTTGAGCTGATGTATTTTCTAATGAAGACATTGGGTCCTGGATTTAGTGACTATATATACTTTCCAATCTAGTTTTAATTTTGTACTTGGTATGGTTTTATACTTTAATTCCAGGAACATGGCCCAACTCTCTCCTCCTTCAGGTTTGTTGGTTAGTGGGCATTATACAATGAGTTGTTCTCAGAACTGAGTCTTCAAAAAATTGTGTTTGGAAATAGATTACGGAATATTTCTCATCCTGAACAATCAAACTACCACTTATACTATTTCCCGATGTAATCCTTCTTCTCTGGACATCTATTAATTTTCTAATTAACAAAGCATAAATGGCCTTTCAAAAAATTATAGAGTAATAAAACGGCACATCAAAAATATTAGCTGAGGTCAAAGTCCCAAGAAGGGGTTACCA